TCCAGAAAAAAATAAACTTACCAAACTTTTTTGTTGGACCTGATTTCCGTAATCCGTCTGCGGATGAATTTTCCAGACGCCCATTTCCGCACCCTCCATATTCCAAGATTCGTAAACAGCACTTAGCGTTGTCCTGATAAGGAGCCGGCGGCCGACGCGTCACGTGTCATAGGGGACAGCTGTAACGACATTCTGATGGCGCGCTATCGTCGTCATCTGCCGTCTCCATGGCGACCGGCGCGCCCGACGGCGCGTCGCGCGTACTATGACATTCCCGTTACGGCTGGTGTTGCCTGACTCGCTCTGTTGCTGGCACGCTATCCGCGACGTCCGAATAACGCGTGTGACGGCGCTGATGCGGTGCAGCGAAAGCGATGGTGTGTCTGATCAGCTCGTTTCGGAGACCGGAGAAGACAGCCGGCTGTGTTCGCAAGCCAGCGCGCCCAGCTCGCTATCGGAATGTGTGGGAAGCTCACGATCACTGCCGAGGGCGGAAGGAAGTGCGGGACAATTATCTTGAAAAGCCGTCTACTCAGAAAGTTACGCGAGTCCAGCCAGCGGTTTTTCAACCCCAACAAGTTTCGGCCACGTTAGATATCGCTAGCTCTTTGAGCTTGGTATTCGGCCGTCTGTGGACTAGTACGCTGATGTGAAAACAACGCTATATGGTTGGGCCAAATATGTAAATATATATATATATATATATATATATATATATATATATATGTTCGATTAGAAAAACACTGGTAACTCAGCATTGACGAGCTTTTTGACACATCGTTCAAGTTTCCGGGCTTTTGACTTGGCATTAGCGTTTATATTAAATATAGCTCGCACAAAATTACTCATGTATTCGTCGCTCTTTACATTCTAGCATTTCGAGATCCTGTTCCATCGTCGGAGAAGACTGAATGACACAAGAAATAAGTTTATTCCTGTTAGGTGGTGGGCGGTGAGCACCATTGATGTGATTGTGGCAATGGTGTTCTCACTGTGTTTTTGTAGTGTTCCATTATGAGTGTATTTTATATGCATCAAGGTGAAAATAAGATTCTGTCCCACATCGATTAACCATGCTTGAGTTGTGTTCTCCGTACTAAAATATATTTTCCAATAGCAGAGCACAATTTTTATCCTTTAAAACTCAAAACTTATTTATTGTGCCATTCAGTCTACTCCGACGATGAGATAGAATCTCGAAGCGCTAAATAATGTAAAGAGCGACGAATATATGAGTAATTTTGTGCGAACCGTCTATTATCTAAACGACAATGCCAGAGCAAAAGCCCGGAAACTAGACCGATGCGTCAAAAAGCTTGTCAATGCTGAGTCAGCAGCAGAAGCTTATGGTTTTCGCATTGGCATGTTTTAACAAAACCAAACTTGCCAAATGATCACGACGTATAGAGAAAGCCAAAGCAAGGGGAAAGGCATCGACCAGTTCAGGGCTGGACGCTCTCCAGCTGCATACATGAAATGATTTTTTCATGTATTTTAGGTGACCACTGGGTCGTAGGATTTGGACGTTCTGTTACCATAGGAGCTTACACCGTCTACTTCGAGTAACGATGAGTGTTAACATTGGATCTGTGGACACCGCGTGAAAATCAACGAAAAAAAAAATGCGTACCTAACGCCATCACCCTGGAAAAAAACATGCCAAAGAGGCTGATAGGCCCGTGCAGGGAACGGTGAGCACCCGCCGGACGGAGAGTCCGGATGTTAGAAGGCCAGCTGTTTGAACGTGACCAGGGAATTGATAACCTGTCAATTCACGTAGGAAACAGCCTGGACGACGTGACAGCTTGAGATGAAGTTCCAGATGAAACCGGTACGCCGAAATCAGAGGTCGGACTCCGATACTCAGTCGGCTGGCCGACACTTTGCCGAAAAGCACGCTGGAGGGAATGAACACATTCTCGAAGCAGCTATATCAATGCTTAAATGAAAGCTTCCAGCTCATCACTTCACACATGCCAATTCACCTTAGATACTTTTTGATCGCGGTTTTGAAACGGAGTGTCCCACATTTAAAAATATTGAAGCAATTATCAGATAAAATGAAATAAGCTAACTTATAACTAACAGGATACTTTTCAATGGAAAAGACTGTCCTAAAAACACAATTTATATTTTAGTAAATATGCTCCTCGCCACGTCGTTGTTTGACGCCGTCACCGTAGGTTACACAACTTTGATTAAGAGCCAATTGGCTGCCGTCACATATGAAATTGTGCTCACGGACGACAGATTCGAATGAATCGACAATTGTATATTTATGGTCCTGATCGCCGCATAGCTGTTTGATAAATGACTGTTTTAGACGATGCTATTATGACGTTTTAGATGCCTGAGTGGCTTTGAAATGGTCTGCATGAAAAAGGATGCACATCTTTACGGAAGTGTAGCTCTGAAACTAGGGGCGGGGATGTTAGGCCTTAAGACAAGGCTGTGAACTGCACCGAATGATCTTCAAGACGTCTATTTCAGTTTAAGACCTCATACGAATGTCGAACACACCTTTAAAGCCTATGTGCTGGAGACAGGCAAGTTTTACGCAAGGTTTTGATTTCTCCGCCATTGAGGGATATCGCGAGTCCGCAAAATGAAGCACCGCATAGATCGTGACTTCAGGCCGTGCAAATGTGTAATCAGTTGAAGCTGCAGTTCCGTTTTTTTGTTGTTTTTTTTGGCTGGTCACTGATACATTAATCAAGTTCAAAATAATAAGGTCCCCTATGCTGAGGAACACAAGCTATTCAGGTTAGATGTTGTTTTGTGTATTTTGGCCAAGTGTGTCCCGTGGTCCAAATTCATAGCAAATTTGTTTTGAAGCAAAGGAATATTGAACTACTATCCTTTCCCAAGCCGTCCATTTTTGAAAGGAGAGGCCGTCACGAGTAATATTTCTTGCACCCAGTCCACCCACCTCTCGTGGGGCTGTACCGACACCCACGCACTTCTCTTCCCCAATCAGTTGTACCCACCCGGTCCCCACACGTTTGTATCATGCCAGCACGTTATGCTGAATCATGGAAAAGTCTTAGGAAAGTCTACACCTAAATTGCTTAATGTTTGTCCATAATTGAAGCAGAGTGTTAATGGAACTGATTATAGTTAAAAAGCGCAAAATGGCAATATATAGCGTGTCGTAAAACGTTTACCTAAATAATTGTAAATGTCATATCCATACATGCGTCCACATCCATAATTCTTCCCAAATCGCTACCGAACCCTACTCGCTACCCATTACATATGGGTGTCTATGGGCTAACCCATTTCCTGAAGAACTCGATTCGAAAGCCTTTTCCACGGCAGGCCCGAGCAAACGAACTACATCCGAGCAACTACAACAAACGGCACCCAAACCCTAGGAGCGCTTTGGCGTTCCCTTTAATCTAACCTTGCTTTGCTCCAGCCTGCTTTGATGCTGGTCAATGTCGAAATACCTTACGCCTCTGGGGCGTCGACATGTATCCTTTTGTGAGAGACCTGCCACCCCGCTCCCCCACCCACTCACACCCAACGTTGTCTTGCTCCATCCTCTAATGTTGGTTTCAGGCTACCGAATACTGTTGCTGGAATGTTATGATAATCCAACAAAAATTTGAATGTCACACACATCTTACATATTCTTTTGCTATTATTTGGACACCATGACTGCTATTCTGCTGAATTTTAGTGCTGTTTGACATATGAGGCAAAAATACAAGAGCAATATATCTTTCACGAAAAACGTGGGCTAGATCTGTTGAGAAACACACACTTGGAGAGGGTTGGTCGTCGTGCTCTTGTGAGGGCCCAAGTCACCGTCAGTGCTGGCCTGGATCTCCCCAATGTTTTGGACTATTTTGGACTGGAATACTACAAAAACGTAGCAAAATGTGAACTATCACACGAGGCCTATCTTCTTTGGGTATGATTTGCTGGCGATGACGACCGTTCTGCAAAAATTAAGAACTATTTTATAAATGAAAGGGAAGTACAACAATCGCCGTCCATACAATTAATCGCCGTCGTTAAAAATATGTTGGGCTTAATCCATTCACGAGCACAAAATGGGAGGGGGTTAAAATGTGGGGCCATCGACTCGGCGCAAATGGTTTACAAAACTGATCCTGCTGTATGCTGATTATCATTTTAAAACACAAAAAGGGCCGTTGACCCAAGAATGCAATCACGATTTATCATTGAAAGTCAACTCAGAAATGGAAACCATTCCTCCTTGACGTGAAGACAATTTTGTTCATTTTCGAAATGAACAAAATTGTTGGTTTGGTAGGTTTGGCTCGAATCGCGCAGATCACCTTTTGGTGGTTGCCATCGTGTTGGTGACGTTGTGGGGCATTCAATGTAAAGTAGAGCGAATAAGTTTCTCAACGACAATGCATGCACAGGTGCACGCTCACCGCTCCTCATATATAGCTGAATAATACATCCTTACACATGTACTATCAAATGATACAACCCTACACAGATGCAGCCGAATAATACATCTCTACAAATACGCAGTCAAATAATACACCCACACGCATATACAGCTGAATCATACACTCCTAAATACACGCAGCTGGATACTTCTTTTATGTATACGCTGAACAACCCTACACATTTGCGGTTGAATATTCTTTCTTTTCACTTGTATAATTTCTGTGTTATGTAGATGGTGCGGCTGTTTATATTCGTGCTTAAGTAGGTCAGTGGTTACCAATCGGATGCCGACAATATGTCCCTTTATTTCACGTATTTACACCAATGCTCAGCAGCTTAACAGTTCAATGCTATCTAATGTCCTTCAGTGGATCCTCCAAAAACCAGCCGCCCAGCAACTTCCCTTCAAAATCGCGCATTCGGTTGCCTTCATGTAAAATGTGAAGTTCACATCGAGCACATTCATGCAGATAAACTTCGGTCAGTCACATTCCTGAGCGCAGCATGAACAATGTCCCACCGTCAACTATCACACGTGGGACGATTTCCCCATCAATGCTCCGTCCACACTAGGCGGAATCCGGGACCTCTATCACCACCAGACTCTCTTTGCTGTTGCCGCAGAAGACGTAGCCCGTGAACGAGAAGCAGCCGGTGGCGGGGTCGGGCTTCACCACGAACACATCCATCGGTGGTGCCGCCGAGCCCGGCATCGAAGTCCCAGAGCCCGGCGCGCCCCCCTGGCCCGGACTCGGCATCGGCGGCATGGTCAGGGGCGGCATGGTAGCCGGCGGCATGGCAGCCGGCGGCCCAGCGCCGGGCGGCATGACCGACGGCATCTCCATGCCGTTCAGGCCGTCATCGGCGGCACAGAGGCCGCGGTAGGTGAGCGAGCAGCTGGTGCCGGCCGGGCACGCCGAGCATGGCGAGCCGCGCTCGTACACCGGGAAGCTGAGGATGTTGCCGCCAGGTCCGTAGTTGCACACGTATATGCGGTTGTCGCGGCCGACGGTGCGGTAGTTGACGAAGCCGCAGCCGACCCGTCGCGTGTCGCCCCACACCATGGCTGTGTAGTGGCCGATCACCACCTGCGTCCTGTCGCAGAGACGTGGGCGTCAGCGGGCGTCGCCGGCAGCCCGGGCCGGTCGCCGGCGAACAACACACGCCGCTATCCACGACGAATGCGGGCGGGCAATTAGTGGACGGAGGTAGGCTGCGCGCTCGGCTGAGCACCGCCCTGCTGCAGATCACGGCGGAATAAACACGGGCGTCGGCCGGCGTGGCGCTGGCCGTCTCTACGAGCCGGCGCCGACAGTGCGGCACCCGGTGCCACGTGCGCGCCCTCCGCCCTTCCGCCCGCAATCCATTATCTCGGCGTAGTGTTGATCCAAGACGGACGCCAGACTATTACTCTGACAGGCGGCGACCCGGCCGCCGGCCCCCCTCACGCGACACGACGTCCGACTCACGAGGGAAACTGGTCCACGTCGAACGAGGCGAAGTCCTTGACCTCTTCGTACCACGCCTCGATGGCGTGGTTCCACTCAGCCGGCGATGGACCCGGGCCGCCGCTGCTGCTGATGCTTGCGAACAAATTCTGCCCGACGAAAAAGCGCGCTGCAACGGGGCAAAACACTGTCGTTGGCAACGGAAGCCAGCCGACCGCCTGTCACGGAGCCATCGTCATTGCGGCACATACTCGTTTCCGACGAACTTGTGTGGCTGCCGGCCGGTTCTGGCTCGATGGCGACGAAAAACAGACAGGAAACGCGCCCCGTCTCCGAGGCGCTGACAGGCTGCAACTGACTCCGAGCGAAGTCAGGTGACAGAGGGGGGGGGGGGGGGGGGGGGCGACAGCGGCGGGCGGGTACTCACGGACACGTCGGCACTGGCCGCAGTCGTGCTGGAGCGTGCACTGTTCGGCCCAGCGCTGCGCCACGGCCGCCAGCTCGTCGTCCCACTCCTGGAGGGGCGAGATGCGGGGTCAGACGTGTGTTGTCACTCACCCGGTGATGAACTGGGCCGAACACTGTTGGTCAGTGTTGTCATTATCGCAGCGGCGTTCGCCGCCGCTGGGGGTTGGGGCCTACATTAAGCTGTAATCTGGCAAGACTGCGAATAAGGCACGGGGCTGTGGCTTGCACCTGTGGTCATTATTAGTGGCTGATCAGGAATGCACGGCAGTGGCTTGTCATAAAGCATTACCTTGTTAAGCACACTGCCTCGTGGAACGGAACACAGGCAGGGCAGCGACCTGTGGCCAGGTTCCCCTTGCCATTGGGAAGTAGCCCTGGTAATTCCGGCCCCCGAGCCTGGCCTGCGTTCAGCTATGAATATCAACCGTGAAAACTGTGACCTTCTGAGGCAGGTATCGACAGGTAACACACGGAGCTGCACACCCATGACAGTATTTTACTTCAAAATACATGGGCTGCTATCCATGATGTTCTTACTCTCGAAATAAATCAAAACTAAAGTCAACCAATGTCCCAGAAGTGTATGGAGACGCGGACAAATGACTAAGCACGTCAAGGTAAAAGGACGGTAATTCCCCTATTCCTTTCTTCGAGAAGCGCACGACAAAAAACATCGTAATTAATTTCGCCGCCCCGTCCCGGTCCTGCGCCTACAGCGGCGGGCAACAGCAGCGGGGCGGTCCGGCCCGGGCGTCAGCGCTGTCGGCACGGATCACTCACCACCATGTGCATGTTGGCGGCTGCCGGCTGCGGTCCGGGCGCGCCCTGCAGCTCTCGGCCCATGGCCACGCGGCTGCGCAGTTCGTTGTGCATCCGCACCACGTCGCGCCGCTCCTGCTGGCTCAGGCCCGAGTGGACGATCGTGCCGCAGCGGGTCGGGTCGGGCCCGCCGTAGCGGCAGAAGGTGTGGTCGGGCGTGATGCCGCAGTAGGCGCCGACGTTCACCCGCGCCAGCACGCCGCCGCGCGCCAGCAGCAGCGGCAGCAGCAGCCGGAGCAGGCGCGCTGGGGATGGCATGACGCTGCGAGAGGGAGTGGCCGGCGGCCAGGTCGCCGGTCAGTTTTAGCGAGGTCGGCCAGGCGTGATTGACAGGTGTCGACGGCCGGCGCCGGAGACGCGCGGCGCCACCGTGTTATGACGTCCGCGCGCCGCCGGCCCATGGGCTGATAACAGGACTTAGCAGACCGTAAGAGGTCACGTTTTGTGCAGACCGGGGGGAGAGCGTGGCAGATCTGACTTGATTTAACGAGCGGAGGTTAACGGGATAAGCGTCGCTGGTGAAGTAAAAAAATCCGTGGTCTGACAAAAACAACGTAGATGTTTTACAACCCACCTACCATACTTGCATCGGATACGCACAGGCACGTCGAAAGGCGTAGCTCTACCTTATGAGACTTGCAACGGTGTGACATGCTCGAAGGCTGCTCCTGCCTTTGATGACATATGACACCTAGATCCCTGTTAGTTGCGCCGGATCAAGGCTGAAACGTTAAATTACGATCGTTGTCGTGATTCATCATGTCAGCGGACAGCGAGGCCAGCATTATGCATATCAGCAAGACCCCAGCAGCTGAGAATCGTGTTTTTCACCAAGCCCTCCACTTGGATCGGTCGCATGTGATGGCTTAATGCGTCTTTTGCGGTGACGACGGGCAACGTTTGTCAGAAATGATTACTGAAGCTGTAGATCATTAACGTTATGCATGGCACAGAACCTAAGGTCATTTAAAACACGCACTGAGCCCGCTTTTTCAACGTCTGGCTGGTAACTGAATCTGCTACCCACATCTCTCCAGCCTTTGGAGCACAGCTGCACTTTTGCTGGTTATAATTACAAATATTTACGTCTTGGGCATTCGACTTGAGGAATAAGTGCCGCGTTATAAGATTATTATTGTACTGGCCTTAAGAAAACGAGTATATACATTACCTGCGGTTGGATGTCTGTCATTTTTTAATCCGCTTGTACTTCTTTACTGCTATCATGTCTTTCATTGTCACATGACAAAAAGGTTATGAATGAATCACGCGCTAAATCCGGTTTGTTTTCAAATTGTACATAGCTGGATTTATATCATTACTCTGGCATGTAAGGTAGGCATATCCCTACAAATTTACCAAGTACACTAGCAATTATTGGCCTGTTTTTCTACCACCAAGGACCGTAAATATTAATATTTTGCAACATAAGAGATTCAGCATGGTTGTGTCGGGCCACACTGGACGTCCCAATTTCACCAATAAAGTTCGCCGCCTTCATCTTTTGGTTACTCTGTGCAATAGCAGATCAAAAATTGTACCCCTTCTCGCATCACTTTCTGAACTGTACCCGTAGGTATTTCACGGTGCAGATACAGAGCTGCACGGCCGCCGCTCGCAACATTCCTGGCATTCCTTACAACGAATCGGTGCTATATCGGCGCCCATTGATAATTTGACCATGATTGACTTCTTTCCAGAGGTAGAGCAGTGTTGTGCATACGTCGCAAACAACTGCGAACAGAGGGTGCACGGCGATGAGGCGGACAGGCGGGCCCCACGATCGGGCGGTCCAGGCGGGCCCTATGATCGGGCGGACAGGCGGGCCCTATGATCGGACGGCGCAGGCGGGCTCTATGATCGGGCGGACAAGTGGGCCCCACGATCGAGCGGGGCAGGCCGGTCCCGCGCCATCAAAGCGTCCACCGATTAAACGAAACCTTTCTCGTTCCCGCGTGTCGTCATCGCACATGTTTTGCTTGGAAAATACCCGGGGCCAGCTTATTCCAAGTTCAGGACCTCCAGCCTTTTAAGAAATAGGCATAGGGACATCGTCGTGCATATCTACTGTTGCGCTAAGATAAGGCTATTTAATTTGATAACACAAAGTCAAGCTTGAAACAGTCCAGCAAGCTTCTTTGGTGCATCTTCCCGACAGTAACGTTCAGTTGCGCGTTTTAGAAACAGTCCTAACATATAATGACAAAAGTGTTCCTAATCCACGGCATTCATGAATACTTTATTTCTCACCTCTGCAGGCTGACCTCGACGCCCTGGCCAAGTGATCACAGGAGCGGCTGCTTCCCTTCAGTGCAGCAAAGTGCAAAATAATGCACATCGGGAACTGCAGCCCGAGGCTGACGTACTTCTTGGGCGGCGCCGAAATTGCGGTCGAGTCCACCAAGAAGGACCTCGGGATCTTCGTGGATTACCGGCCCCAGTTCCACGTGCAGACGGCGGAAGCGATGTCCAAGGCCAACCAGATGCTGGCGGTCGTGAGGTGGTCCTTTGCCAATATCGATGCTCGCACGTTGCCATTGCTTTTTAAGATCTTAGTACGTCCGTACTTAAGAGTATGGCAACGTCATCTGGGGCCCGTTCGACAAACTGAACCAGAAGCGGCTGGAACGGGTTCAGCGACGAGCTACCCGGCTTGTCCATGAAATGAGGCGCCATCCATACCCTGAGAGGCTCAGACTCCTTCAGTTGCCCGCGCTTGTACTATCGTCGTCGTAGGGGAGACATGGTAACAGTGAACCAGCTGTTTCACGGAGGTATGTCGCTGTCGGAAAAGAAGTTCCTGACAATGCACAACTCGGAGGTGGCGAGAGGACACCAATGGAAGCTCAGAAAACCTCGAGCTAGGCATCTCATCCGTCGTAACTCATTCAGCACGCGGGTTGTCAACGACTGGAATGCTCTTCCACACCCGGTCGTGTCGTTGAACTCAGTTGAACAGTTCGAGTCTAGGCTTGATACGCACCGGGCTGACATGTACGACGTCCCACACTGAATCTTCTCATGATTTGAGACCGTTTGGTTACCGGACCGGGAGCCTGACGAGACCAGGACCTACAGGCCTAGTGGCCTTTTACAATTCCCCATCACCATAAGGTAAGGTAAGGTAAGGTGATTACGTGCGTCAACATCTTGTCGATTGCGTTCGGGACCCTCCGTCTGTGGCAGAAACCGCCGCTGAGCGGCCTTGCTCTGTTCGCCGTCACAAATCACAGTATCTCGGAGGCTCCTCTTGCAGGAGATCGACAGATTTCAGAAGCATTCTGATCCATTTCGCTAATCGGCTTTCACGACATGAGATAAGTTTCAACCATTATGTATCCAATCAGTGGGTCTATACAAAATTTGCTACCAAAAGTGTCATCAACGTCTTGCTTGTTTTCCGAGATCGCCACCTACCCCGAATATTTTCTAGCTCCGTTCGTCTCGGCAGTTTATCTTTTAACGGCTCACTGATCGTGCTTAATGATCTCCAGTGATAATCGAATCAGGCGCTCAATTTGCAGTGTGTCGGCCCTCACGAGGGAACTGATTGTCTTCAAGGATTTCCATTCGCTTCAGTAAAGTCGGGCTAAATAAAACTGATTACATCATGAGCGCCAGCACGTCGCGTTTAATACGACTCAATGAACGTTTAGTACGTGTGGTAAAGCGGTGTAAATGAAGCATAAATCACCCAAATTGGAACATGACTCAGCTATTTCAATCATCAAATTCCCGTCGTTGTCCCCGTGGCTAAGCTGGTAAAACACCGTATCTGGTCATCGTGTCAGAAATGTGCCTTAGCGTCCCAGCAACCGTGCATATGAGGTTCATCGATGACGGGTAGTTGGCAACTGGCCAAGAGAGCCATACTTACGTAGGAAAGCGGTGTCATGGCGTCCTTTATAAAGAAGAGGATACAATGGTGACGGAATACCTACCAGAAAATGTACTCGTCTGTCTGTTTGCGACATCTAGCGCACATCTACAAGAATTCTCACTCAACATTCGAACGCCTTTTCACGCGAAGTAGCGTTGTAATTACGCCGACTTGTAACTTACGGCCGACATTATTTTTTAGGATCTTTGCACATTGCAATTCTAGCAGTTACAAGTGAAGCTTAGCCTGACACTGTTTTACTGTGATTGTTGACTGCATTGCCTGAAAATGAAAAAAAACTGCGTGCCAAGTAGTTCAGATATAGCAATGGACGGTGTTCTGGCTTATTCCCCGTGGGAGAAATCATGTGTCAGGGAAGGGGCAGAACGTTGCGGGTCAACTAAACGCTGATATGCTGTCCTTTTGTAGCCAACGTTGACATGGCTTTGTCACCTGGCGCATGATTCACCTGTCAGAGATATTACGCGATATAGCATTTTATGCGTGCCGAGATATTCTTCCAACACCAAAGATACATAAGAGATTGCGCTACACAGACTGCTTGGGTAAGCGGCAGTTTCGTGAAACAATTGTTCCAACGTTCCGGAGCCCCTGTTTTATGCTATTGCATTTAACCAGCCGGAACATTCTTACCACGAGATGACCATTCATGTATTTACCGCGATGAGTACATTCAATTATTTCAACTTTAGCTTGTTTCATCAAGGATTACGCCATGCCGTACTGACAGACGGGCAATGATCCTAGAGACTATAACAACATATTTCGAAAAAAACGGAAGTTTCAGTAGGTTCGGTAAAGATCAGGGTGCCAACAACGGGAGGGAAGGAGCGGGGCGGGGAGACAAGCTAAATCCTTCTATGGGGAAGGGTGCCAACGATTCGTTGAAGGCGGGGCTGTCGTTGCAAAGTTGGGCGATTCTCTGGCATGCATGTTTCAAGGCAATAGATGGTGTGCGATGAGACATGTGACCGAAAATTTTCGGGAAGACGGGTGACAGAAATTAGGCAAGAAGTCGGACGACGAAATTCGATGTCTGATTGGGCATGGCATTGGGGCTAGCAGTGTCGCTGTGTTTGGGCGTGTCGCTGGGACCGGCGGTGTCGCCTGTGTTTTTAACCTCCCGGGTCGGCACGCGGCTGGAATCAAGTTCAGCCGAATCCAATCGGAAAGCATAGATCAGAATAAGCTCCAGAAACTGCAACTGATGCGCCTTCGTAACTCACATAAGGCACGCTAAATG